GTCATCAGGTATGTAAACCGTGGTTTGTAACAAATGTTTTAGTTTGGGTTCAAGACCCAAGCGCAGCACGATGTGGTGAGTTCTCATCCTTGCCCTGGGTCCTGCCCGTCTAGCAGTCTGAAAGAATGAAAATGCAAGTAGATGAATAGGTACCATTTTGGTGGGAAGGTAACAGTGTTCCGTGTGCTTCGGCCTATACTCAAGCTGGCTGCATGACCATGGAAAATGCTGACTCCTTCAGCTAAGAAAGGAGATGAGCTCTGACCCTAGAGTTGGACACAACTGGCCCGGGGAAAGCTTTACCTTTAAAGCTACTTATCCTGTGATAAGTTGGTTTTTACAAGGGAGACAGACCACTGTTCTACCAATCCTTTCATTGGAGCCCGTGGAAAGTGATTTCCTTGCAGCATGGGCCAGACACTGACAGCACTAAAGCAAATTGCAAGGCTTTGGTAAAGTTGTGTCATTCTTTGTGGCCTTTCCCTGCTCTCTCTCTGACATGCCTGGCAGCATAATGGAATGATGCATACACTGCCATAAAGACAGGACAAAATTTCTGCTGGGTTATATTGATGGCCTAATCACATCATCTGCTCTTCTGCTCTGCCATACAGCCCTGTGAGTTTCTGTGGGGATTTGTGGCATGTGGACAGCACTTGACTCTCTGCATCCAACACACTAAATTTTTAAACGCTGCTTAGACCGTGCATCACATTCCTTCATTAGCAGCAAATGTGTCCTGCCAAAGGACCTCTTCCCTGAGCTGAACAGAATGGTTTTTATTTTCAGTGCTGTGTCTTAGAATTAACAAGCACATAAAGAATTCAAATCTTCCCAGTTCCTGGTTGCAAATTAATGTTTGGATGGAAAGTTCAGTGCTGGAATTTATCTTTCCCCCCCCCTCCCACTTTCTTCACCCTACCTGATTGTGCAAGCACACACCCTCACACCTTCTAATCTGATTCATTTTCCCTGCAGCAAAATCTCTGGATGGCTTTCCTGTCCCATTTGGCTCTTTTTGAAGAAAATACAGGAGAACGAAAGTTTATTAGTGACTGACAGCCTCTCATGGGGCCAGGTTTCTCTTTGTCACTACATCCATTTAAATCATATGGTTAAATCTTGGGGCTTTGACTTGGAAAGCCCTTAAGTGAAATAAGTGCTATGGATGGTTGTAAAATTACATGTTGAATACATCTGGAGATGGGATGCTCTCGTCTTGGTAATCAGTATCATTTTATAGGAGTGTTGAACTGACTCACCAAATTGAAGCAGAACTTCAAAAAACCTAGTGTGGAGAGCTCAGAGGAGTTGTGCTACTTCACTTTGCCTGTTTCTTTGCCCTTTCAGCAACCTATTGCTCATCAGCAGATGCCCCTGGCCTCAAAGCAAAGCAGCTGGGAAACAGACATCCTCCCCTCTTGACATTTTGCAGAGTTACTTTACTTGCTCATTACTCAAAATGTAACCAGCTAGTACCTTTCCAGCCTGCTTCTTCTTAAGCAGTTCTGGGGGAGGAGCTGGATGATACTGCCAATGCTTTGACTTATCCATAGATATAAATCTCACCTTAGCTATACATCCACCCAGTGTGAAATCTATTATTTCTCTGGCTGTTCATTCACAGAATTTGAATAAAAATATTGAGCTACCTAAGTTAGAATATTATTTTTATATCTGCTCATTATGCTGCCTAGCTCCTACCTTATTAACCCATTGTTTTGTGATGTATCCTAATTGCTTGTTTGTTGAACTTCACTTCACCTTTCCTCCAAGAGTTTAAGGAAATGTGCATAGTTCTTCCCTTTTAATTGTTCTACTATAACATTGGAATAAACACATCAGATAGTGATTCCTCCCCCACCCCCTAGGCTGTGTATTTCAACCTAATGACTATAGGTGGCTATCAATACATTGACATACAAAGCAGAATATATAAAAAGAATCAAATCAAAACTCTCCCATAGCATATTGTCATGCATACTGTACATACCTGGCTTAATTAATCCTGTGAGCTTAGTGCTTTGGAAAAAAAAACAGGTCTTCACATGGATATATTTGCATATACCATATGTCATGCCTGGGCCATTTATTTTCTTCCTTATTGCCTGATATTTTAAATAATAATGGTAAGAACCCAGCTTGTGCAACTTACAATGATGATGGAACTAATAGTTCTAATGCTACTTCTATTAATAGCAATAGCACTTAGACTTTTTTTTTTAATTTGATTTATATGCCGCCCTTCTCCGAAGACTCAGGGCAGCTTACAATGTGGTCAGCAATAGCCTTCATCCTTTTGTATATTTATACAAAGTCAGCTTATTGCCCCCACAAACTGGGTCCTCATTTCACCTACCTTAGAAAGGATGGAAGGCTGAGTCAACCTTGAGCCTTGGCGAGATTCGAACGCTGCAGTAATTGCAGACAGCTGGTCTTAATAACCAGCTTAATAACACGGTGCCTTAAACCCCTGTACTACCAAGGCTCTAGCACTTAGACTTATATACTACTTCACAGTTCTTTATTGTCCTCTCTAAGATGCCTTCTCTAAGCAGTTTACAGAGTCAGCCTATTGCCCCCAACAATCTAGGTCCTCATTTTACTGACTTCAGAAAGATGGAAGGCTGAATCAACCTTGAGTTGGTCAGGTTCAAAGTTTAGTTTAGTTTAGTTGATTAAATTTCTATACCGCCCTTCTCCCGAAGGACTCAGGGCGGTGTACAGCCATGTTAAAACACACATAAACTCACAAAATTTAAAAACAATTTAAAACGACTATATTAAATTTGGCCCACAAAGTTAAAAATTGACAAAGAGCCCCATTTAAAATTTATATTCTAAGCCAGCCCGGCCTGTTGGAACAACAGGGTTTTAAGGGCACGGCGAAAGGTACGAAGGTTGGGGATCATACGAACCTCCAGGGGCCGGTCATTCCAGAGGGCAGGTGCCCCCACAGAGAAGGCTCTCCCCCTGGGTGTCGCCAATCGGCATTGTTTGGCCGACGGCACCCTGAGGAGTCCCTCTCTGTGGGAGCGTATTGGCCGGTGGGAGGCTACCGGTGGCAGAAGGTGATCTCGTACATACCCAGGTCCTAAGCACATTGCAGGCAAAGTTAGCCTGCAGTACTGCATTTTAACCACTGCACCAACATTTCTCTTAATAATTTGATGTGCAGGACTGAACAGAAATGTGCTTTACTCCTGTATAAATTTCCTGTGCTTATCTTTACCATAATTTAATTTATTCAAATTTCAGTGCATTCCAGAGAAGTAGGCTCCCAGGATTCCAAGCAATTAGTTTAGCTGAATCTAGCTGGGGAATTCTGGGACTTACCTACCTCTAAAAGTGGCCCAGATGGGCTATGATGGGTTAAAAAAAAAACATTCAGTATGGAAAACTGCAGCTTTGGATAATAATGTCTTCTTAATATGCCATTTTTACTCCTGCATATTTTTTTAAATATAATTTTTATTGATTTTGAAAACATAACTTTAAAAGTTAAACAGAAAAGAAAAAAATGAAAAAGAAAAAACCAATCAAAAGAGAGAAAAGACAGATATGCAAAAAGAAAAGAAAGAAAGAAAAAGAATAGAAAACTGTCAGTTCACCATCTGTAACAATTCTATCACCTTCACCATCCATAGATATTTGTAAGTCCTTCCCACCTTTATTCATATAAAAGTCTCACCCCTGTCATCCAATATATCAACAATTTCCATAAGATGGTTCTATTTTTTGTCCATTAAACCCCAAGTTTTACTCATGCACACTCTTCCGTAGGCGCACACACACCTGCCCACAAGAACTTCATATTGCAATAGGTACAAAAAAAGTGAGGAAAAAAATCTTAACAATCATCTTGGAAACTTCCCCCAGATTTTCACAGCTGTTTGCATAGAATTCTATGCCCCTCCATTCTTTTGTGAGCAGCTTATTATATTACCCAAAGCTCTAGTTGTTCTGAATCTGTTTGTACAACTAAAATGACACTCCTAAACTCTGCACTAAAACAAATTAGATTTATTTTGAAGAGTTCAATGAACAGCCTTTTGAATGGGTTCCATAATGGGTTTTTTAATTAAATGAATATAGTCATTTCATAGAGGCAGTTCTCATTAGTGCAGCAATATTGAGATGACCATTTCCTTCTAATTGCATTGTATATTCATGTAAGTGGCTCAATTTTAGGGTTGGTTTGAACAGATTTATATGTAATCAAGATTTGACACCTCAACTTGCACTGAAAGACAAGGTTCATCTTGTTTTTCTGAGGAAGATGTCATAATAAAGGGTTGGGTTAGAGTTTTGGTTTTTGAACCATCCTTCTGATAGGATGGAATGTTGGTTGAACTTGGCCAGAATTGTCTACTCCAGCTGCTGATGATTCTTATTAAATCTCCACAGTAAAGGTCTTCCTTTCCTCCTTTGATTGAGTTCCTTGTACAAGAAGATTCCAGAGTTTTTATACTGGTTATATCTATTTTGGTGACTTGCCAACCAAAATGATTCAGAATAGACATACAGTACATCCAGTGGTGGGATTCAAATAATTTAACAACCGGTTCTCTGCCCTAATTATTTCTTCTAACAACCAATTCACCAAACTGCTCAGAAAGTTAACAACCGGCTCTCCTGAAGTGGTGTGAATTGACTGAATCCCACCACTAAGTACATCCCATTCTCTGACTCTCTACTATTTAATTATGATAACTGAGGCTTATTTTGTGAGGATTCACAAAATAAGTTTTAATATAGGACTAATGTTTTGTAGTTGATTGATGTTATGTCATTGCACCTGTCAGGCTCCTCTTAGAAACAAGTATAAAAGACACAATGGATAAGGGAGCTTCTGATAAGCAGATTAATTGTAGAAAAGCTGGTGTAGCTTTTGTGAAAGAATCCCACCGATGATTGTATCTCAAATGCAAATCATATTTAGAATTAAATCAAGGCTAACACTCCTCTGCACATAGTATAGCTGGCTTCAAGCTACTCACTTTCACGCAGGATGGACAGTTTTTATCCTGTTAACCCTTATTCTGTTAGTGGTGGCATGAGGACTCAATAGCTAAGATGCTAGGCTTGTTGGATGGCAAGCCAGCAGTCCAGGTTCAAAACCTGAGCAACCTTGTGATGGGGTCAGCTCCTGTCCTCACCCCAGCTCCTTCCAACCTAGCAGTTCGAAAGCATGCAAATGAGAGTAGATAAATAGGTACCACTTCAGTGGAAAAGTAACAGTGCTCTGTGATGTCATACTGGTCACGTCACCACGGAAATGTCTTCAAACAGCACTAGCTCAATGGCCTTGAAATGGCTTTGAGCATTTTCCTCTATAGTTGGCAACATCTAGCAGAGTAAAATCTGCAGGGACTCCTTTTTTAAATTTTATTAACAGATTCAGGTTTTCTGGTTATTGTTTGGATTATTGAGTATTAGCTCCCATACATCATCTGGATTAATTTTTCAAGTTTTTCCACGAGGTGACATAATCACTTTTCAATTCACATGAGTTCCATTTGTCTTCATAGCATTTTGTTTTTCTTGCTGGCAGTGGTAGTGGTAAACCATTCCCTATCAAGAAGTCTTGAATTATGAGAGGTATGAATGTTGTCATTTTAACACCTGAGGCTACACAAATAGTCTGATAAGGGGAGGCAAAGATGTCAAAGCACGGTTTAAAATGTTAATTAAGTTTCAGTCTTTGCAGACAACATTCATATTCTCTGTAATGGAGTTATTCAGCTGCCTCTGTTTCATATTTCATGTCATATATCATTTGGAGAACTATTCATTTCCACTCTTAAATGAAGCCGTGACCTTTCTCCACTTAGTCTTTTCACATATGGTAGAGTAGAACAGTGGAGGGAAAAAATGTGTCTCACCTTATTGATCATTAAATTTTGAGGTTCATCCAGATTCCACTTTTTTTTTTAACAGACACAAAATATCTGTGATCCAAGTGCCTTTAACTATATGGATTTTCTTGAAATATGAATATGTTTTGTAAATCCATATTTTTTTATAATTGTATAAGAAAGGAAGTACATCTATTGTTTTATAGCTATACTGTCTATTGATTGTTTCCCTTTTTAAATTGGGAGGGACAAAGGAGTCTGAGAATATAAACCACCAAAAGAACATTATTATTATTATTAATGTACTATTACATTTACAGCCCATGTAAGTTTTCAGCCAAGCAAAATCAATGTGGAAGCCTGCAAGTGGTTGTAAATGCCAGTCATGTGACATCACTCTTAATGACCATGTTGCTTAGTGACAATTACCATCATTTATTGAGGACTGTATAATTTTAACTGAACAAGGGTGGAAAATACATAAATTTATATTGAATGTATGGCAAAATGAAAGCTTTGCCAGAGAACCAAGTATATAATATATCAGCCATCTTTAATGGTTCAAAATTCAGGGTTCATCCTGAGAGAGAGAGAGAGAGAGAGAGAGAGAGAGAGAGAGAGAGAGAGAGAGAGAGAGAGAGAGAAATGTATCCAGTAGGCAGATGAAGAATGAATCTGCATTTCAGTGAATAATTTTCTAAGCGAATCCTTTGAAGCTAATGGTGCTCTGTTCCCTAAGGGGTATCCTCCCAGAGGATCAGTCATAAATTAAACTTCTGGCTTTTTCCTTATGGAGCTGCATCATCAATCAGACCACTAATTTTTAATTCAGTTGCTAAATGTAAATGTGATTTTCTTTTCCAATATTGTGAACAAAGTAGGAAAAAAGCTCCAAACGACAAACAAAGAACCAAGCATTTTGAGTTCATGGAGAAGTATTATGTTATTTTTCCCCCTCTTCAAGTAGGAAAATAAGTACTGGTAATAGAATGACAAAAGAAGACAATGTCAGTAGCTCAGGACTGAACTGGGGCATTCTTGTTGCTATCTGAGCTTCAGCATTTGAACAGAACAGGAAATCATCAGAGTTGTAAGGAACCTTAGAGGTCTTCTAGTCCAATCCCCTGCTCAAGCAGGAACCTGTATGCCATTACAGACAAATGGCTGTCCAGTCTCTTCTTAAAAGCCTCTTGTGATGGAGAATCCTCAACTTTTGAACTGTTCCACTGTCAGGAAATTTCTCCTTAGTTCCAGATTGTTTCTCTCCTTGGTTAGTTCCCATCTATTGCTTCTCGTCTTGCCTTCTGATGCTTTAGAAAATAAGTTGACCCCCTCTTTTTGACCCCATGCATTTACTTGAAGATGTTTCATTACTCAACTGTGTAACATTTCCAGTTTTAAAAATGCATGCAAGTATGGCTGTGTACACACAAAATAATAGAGGATTGTCAGTATAATATCAATAGCTCAGGGCTGTTCTTGTGGCTTTCTAACCTTGGTTGTTCGTTTGCAGATATTTCATTGGCCAACTAGACAACACAATTAGTGGAGTAAAGCAAATCACCACACAACAAATAACCAATGTCATAGGTCACCAATGGCTCCAGAATGACGAGAGGACGGTGATAATGCTCTTGACTAAGTAGCATAGAATATGCATCCAATTAATGAGGAACAATCCAACTGTTAGAATAGAATAGAATAGAATAGAATAGAATAGAATAGAAGAGAAGAGAAGAGAAGAGAAGAGAAGAGAAGAGAAGAGAAGAGAAGAGAAGAGAAGAGAAGAGAATTCTTTATTGGCCAAGTGTGATTGGACACACAAGGTATTTGTCTTGGTGCATACGCTCTCAGTGTACATAAAAGAAAAGATACATTTGTCAAGAATCATAAGGTACAACACTTAATGATAGTCATAGGGAAACAATCAATATAAATCTTAAGGATACCAACAACAAGGTTACAGTCATACAGTCATAAGTAGGAGGAGATGGGTGATAGGAACGATTAGTAGAATAGTTTAAAGTCCATGAACTATAAAAGGACAGGACCATTTTTACTTTTGCTGGTGCAAGATGGTTCTTAAGCATATTAAATATCTATCTCTTTAGTTACAATGCGTTTTAAAGAAAGAAGCCATTTTTCTTTTCCTCCTGATGGATGTTTCTGCTTATTTTTAACTGTTTTAAACTGTTACTTTAAAAGCAACAACAGATTTTTTTCGTTACCCACTCGCGCATCAAAATGGATGGCAATAAAAATGTGCTCTTTATCACATATGCCAATGGCCACTGAACCAATGTCTCAATCGGTTTCCTTAAAGGTGCTGTCATAAGTAAAGTTCCATGTGTTTACTTATCTGAAATTAACATATTTTAATCATATTTTATGTAAGTAACTTTACTCCAATGCATTTTTTCCTACCAACTAGCCCTCTTTCCTTCCCATTTCTTATGTAATTTCCCCTAATATACTATAAATCAGAGCTGGAAATGTGATTTAGCTACATTTCCCAGCATCCTCATCACTGTCCCTACTACTTCAGATGGTGGTAAAGTTTTGTGTTATCTGGGAAACCATAAATTTCCTCTATCCAATCTAAATGGTGTCAGGAAAGAGAAGAAAAAGATAACCAGCCAGAAAGTGGAGAGATTCAATTTACAGCAACAGGATGCACCTCCTAGTAACAGTAATACTGAGTAACAGAGTTGGAAGGGATCTTGGAGGTCATCTAGTCCAACCCTCTGCTCATGCAGAAGACCTATACTAGGGATTCGAACCGCCAAACTGCCAAACTTTCTGACCGACAAGCTCCTGGAGAAGTTCTGTCTCTATGGTTGTTAAGAGTCAACACCAACTTGATAACATGCATCAACTCAAAATGCAAGTTTGTTTTTGAAACGCAGCTTTCCAAAATGTCAGGAAACGTACTGTATCAACTTTTCTAAGCAAGAAAAATGAATGGTGTTCCTGTACAGTAGTGACCAAAATTGTGGAAATTTTTTGGGAAAAGTGTGTTTTCTAAAACTAGCTAATAACACCACATTTTGGAGGAGTACCATAAAATTATATATCAATGGAGAGATAATAGCAGTTACAGTATAAAGAAGAAAAGTGAAACACGTAGAAAAAATGGGATATACAAAAATTATCACGTCAGTTAATATTAAGTTGGGTAACCTTTAGCATGAATTATGGCCTTACAACGTCTTCCCATGGAGTGAACCAAGTCTTTGAGTTCTGCAGCTGTTATCATGTGAAACCAAGATTGAAGGATTAACTGGGTTTTATTGCTGGGTCACTTCTGACTAACAAGTTTCTTTCTTTTTTTTATTTGATTTATATGCCGCCCTTCTCCGGAGACTCAGGGCAGCTTACAATGCATTAAGCAATAGCCTTCATTCTTTTGTATAATTATACAAAGTCAGCTTATTGCCCCCACAAACTGGGTCCTCATTTCACCTACCTTAGAAAGGATGGAAGGCTGAGTCAACCTTGAACCTGGGGAGATTTGAACTTGCAGTAATTGCAGGCAGCTGATGTTAATAACAGTGCTTTAGTCTGCTGCACCACCAGGGCTTCTTTAGTCGGCTCCATTGATTTTCAATTGGGTTAAGGTCTGGGCTATTCCCAGGCCATTCCAGCACTGGAATAGGATTATTTTGTAACTCAAAAAAAAAAAAAAAAGTGGTGTTATTAGTCATCAAACCTCAAAAATGCAGTTTTCCCAAAAGGTTTCCACAATTTTTTTATTTTTATTTTTTATTTGATTTATATGCCGCCCTTCTCCGGAGACTCAGGGCGGCTTACAATGCATTAAGCAATAGCCTTCATTCTTTTGTATATTTATACAAAGTCAGCTTATTGCCCCCACAAACTGGGTCCTCATTTCACCTACCTTAGAAAGGATGGAAGGCTGAGTCAACCTTGAGCCTTGGAGAGATTCGAACCAGCAGAAATTGCAGGCAGCTGTGTTAATAACAGGGTGCACTAAACCACTGTACTATCAAGGCTCTTTTGGCCACTACTGTATATTTGTAAATCCTTAAGCAGGTGGATCACCATGTTTTATTTTGGGTTTGGGTCAGTGGTGAAATCTTCCTGTGTTTGCCACCGGTTCGCTGCCTGCGCATGTATGTTGTGTGCCAAATGCCTGCAGTGCACGTGCACATGCACAGGGCATGCCAAGTGCATGCTGCATACATACATGCAGCATGCACCAAGTTCACACTGCACACGTGTGCATGCGCAGTACGCACCGAATGCACGCTACAGGCGGAAAAAGGCTTGGGAA